ATRWAACYWAWYAAATAAMMAKTMRWGTWRTTKAAAACGAGTCAAACTGAGTCGGAGTCATGGAGGAGTTTGACTCTTTGTGTTGTTTCTGTCATCGTGTCCAAACTGAAGCAGTTTTACAGTAAATCTTCACCTGTCCTTGTCTCTCAGCGAGTGTGGGACGAGCTGGACGTGTGGCACTCGTGTCTGGCGGCGCTGGAGGTGGACATGCAGGACCTGGACAAACCGGAGGAGGCTCTGTCCCTCACCGAGCGGCTGGTGGAGGTCCAGCAGCGTCACTCACAACTGGCCAAACAGGCCGAGCAGAGGACCACGCTCCTCAGCAAGGTCAGACTTCCCATCTGCCCCGTCTTCACATCTGCACCTGTGACCTGACCGTGATTTTAATTTCTCTTTTGGAAGTTCATGTTTCTGTTAATGAGCTTGTGATAGTTGGTGGTTCAACCCTCAGCTAAATTAATTAAAATAAGTAGGTAATGACAAATCCCAAAACAATCCTAACTAACTCAAAAACTGAAAAACAAAAGGTTTTGTTCTAAAGAGGAATGTTGTTCGCGTCCCTGCTCAGACTCACACGTGGCTTCAGGAGCATCGGGAGATGATCAGCAGCTCTAAGAGCTGGATGTCTGAAGCTCAGTCGTGGCTCGCCGCGCCCTGCACCTACACCACGGCTAAATGTCTGAGCAGCCATGTTCACTCTCTGCAGGTCGGTGCACTGCACTCACTCACTCATCTTCAGTGTGAACTGAGGAAAAAAAAAAAATCTAATCAACTCTTTACGTCATCTCCTTGTGCTGCAGACGGTGTTGGGCGACTCGGCACAGATCCGTAAGACTCTGCAGGGCTTCAGCTCGGTGCTGCAGGAAATGTCGCAGATTTGTGACGTAACGACCCTCCAGCAGCAGCTGGTCGAAGCCGATCGCCAAGTGGCCGAAGTTCAAGACAGCTTCACTGCTCCTCTGTCTCAGCTGGAGCACGCTGCTGCTGTGAGTCCGCCATTTTATTCTGTATTTATTTGAGTCAGTCCTCTGCTCCCGTTTTTTCACTGTATCGCTAAACATATGGAGTGGTGTCTTGATCTCCAGGAGGTGGAGGCCATTGAGAGCGAGGTCAAGCGGATGGAGAACGATGTGGCCGAGATCAAGACTTTGTTATCGTCTCCGGAGACTTTCCCCAGCCCCCGAGAGGAGAGTCTGAAGGTGAGACGAGACGATTTCTAATGGTTATGACTCAAGTGTTAACTGGGTCACTCTCTGAGCGCTCTTCTGGTTTTTACAGGAGGTCGAGCAGAAGATCCAGTCCATGAGGACGACAGTGGCTGAGATCCAGAGGTGTAAACCAGGCCTCTGTCTTCCAGAGAAGGCTGACGAGACTCTGACTGTCTTCACTGTCGTGGACCAGCTCCAGAACCTGCTGCTGGAACTGGAGAAGGTCAGACATCGACCAGTCAGTCAGCGGTTCCTGTGCCACGGATCTGTCCTCCACTGAACCTTCTACTTTACTCCTCTTGCAGAAGGTCCCTGCTCTGTTCATCCAGCAGCCTCCGACTCCGGTCCAAGCCAAAGCTGTGTCGGTCGAGCAGACGACGACTCGCTCTCAGCTCCTGAAATCCACTTCGGAGGAGGCAGAGGTGAGTTTGGTTCATTATCCAAGCAGCTTTGTGATCAGGTGCCGGTTTCATTTTAAGGATTCAGATTGTGCACAGCCCCAAATTTCAAATAATGAATTTCACTTTTATGTCCGTCTCTCAGAAGGAAGACACAGAAGAGGGACAGATCAAAATCGTCCACGTGGAAGAGGATGTGCTGACGAGACTTGGAGCCACGCTGCAGACGGTGGAGCAGTCGTCCCCCGAGCAGAGACACAGTCCTCAGGTAAGAGAGTCAGGAAGACTCCTGCTCAAGGGTCTGATCCATAGACTGTAAATAAAGATGGACGACATGGCAGCTCCCAACAGTGAAGTCAAATTATCTTGATCGCCCCCTGGTGGCTGGCTGCAGTACAGGTCATAATGCTTCTTCATGTTAGTGGATGGGACATGGAACAAACTGAAAAGTCAAGATGCATGTCAGTGTACACGTACAGTTCGTATTCTTCCTCTTCCTCCTCCTCCTCCTCCTCCTCTGTTTCTTCTTCTTCCCTAAATAACGTGAATAGCACAAGATGGCGGCGCGGGTACCCGAGATATTTCAGCCTCATTTAACGGGAGGAAGTGGAGACGAGTCGTCCATCTTTATGATTCATACTCAGTGTCACGGCACCAAATCATGTTTATGCTGCTTTAAATTAAATGAATATCACAGAATGAGAAAACATCTGTAGTGTTGAGCGTTATTTATAAAACTTCGTAAACAAGTTTAGACGGGATGATACTAACATGCCTGCAAACCCTCCCTTACATATCATTAACAATGTATTTACAATATCCCAAAGTCGTTGTCTCAATGCTAACTAACTATGCTTAAAACTCATTTTTCTTTTTTTTTATTTGAGCATGCATTTCACGATTGAAAGTGCAGATACCGGGACACTGAGCTAATGTTTGAGGCTTAACTGTGAATTAAGTGAAATATTTTCACAACATGATAAATCTCTTCAGAACACAGATCGCTTTTCATTTTTAATTCTAGTGGAGATGTTATTGTTTCTAATAATATAGTGAATTCTGGAGGCACCGTAGCTAATTACAGTAAAACCTTTAATGCAGCAGGTTCGTAAACTTTTAATCAAATTAGATTTGCTTTAAACTGTTTGCTTGTGTCTGCTCCACATTTGATTGAAATCAGAGGAAAACTTTAAAAAGAAATACAATAATTATTTATTTATTTATTAAGCACCTTTGAAAACAGGATGAAAACGATTAAGAAAGCAGAAGAGGAAAATTAATACATAAAAAGAATAAAAGCAATAAAACGAAAACATTACATTAACTCAAATTCAGATGCTCTCAGTTCTTTAGTGAACGATGAGGTTTGCAGCTCAGTGTCCTCAGATGCACTTTTGACCATCCCCCCCCCCCGCCCCGTGTCTCCGTGTCAACAGCGTGAGCATCATGGCGTGCTCCCGGCTGAGGAAGAGCGGAAAGACAGTGAGCAGCAGAGAGAGGAAGAAGGTGGAGGAGGTTTTTTCTGGTGGCTCTGGGAGGTTTTCGTGGGCGCTTCTCCAGAGGTAAAGAAGGTCGAGAGCTACAGTGGAAAAAAAAAACAAACGTTCATCACTCCTGTATTTCTTCTCTGTTCTTTGGGTCACCTCTTCGTCCTCCCTCCTCTCGGAGTCGCTCGGTACTCACTCACTTCACATTTAGACGGGATGGAGTCAACACACTGGATGCTGTGTGGCGATTCCTTTGGAAAGCATTTTAAAATTTGATGTCGTGAATCCCGGCCATCCAGTTATTCCTCAGCTGTGTCTGTCTTTGACCTGGGTCACTCACCCCCCCACCCTCCCTACTCCTCCCCTCCTCCCCTGACCCTCAGTCCTCCTCACCCTCCCTGCTCACTTGTTCCTGGGTGTTATTCCTCCACCAGAGGGCAGTGTCTGACAGGGTTTGTGACAAATGAAATTGTGTCGTCTCACTTAAGTAAATCACCAGCAGTGTTTTTCTCTTTCAGCCGTTTAACAGTTTCGTCAGGTGGTTGATGTGGAGTGTTTTAATATTTCTCATTGTTGGTGTCAGGAACCTGCGGCCGTCGTCTCGGAGGAGACTGAAGCTGCCAGCGGACGAAGCAGCGAACAGACACAGGAGGAGACTCAGGTGACTCCACTCATTCACTCTCAGTTTCTCAAAGGGGATCGGTCTGATGATAATCAGCTTTTCCATATCGTCAATGGTCGAAAAAATGCAAAAGGAGACATGTTGGGGCAGAAAAGCTTCAAAATAAAACCGGATACAAAGAAGTCAAAGTGCAAATAAAGACAAATTTAAATTAAAGTCCACAAAACTAATTAAAAAACTTGAAATCTTTTAAAAGTTCAACAAAGAACAGAATCATCAGTCTCCTTCTGAAACCACATTTAAATCCATTAGATCCACGGCGGGTTCCAAACGTAACCTCCTTCACGAGGCTAACGAGGACTAACAATTATCTCCTGTGTTGTAACGTCCAGATCCCGATTCATCTATTTTTGTTGAGTTTGTTTTGACTGAATCCCACAAACTGTTCTACTCAAACCACGTCTGACAAAAGTCCCAACTCCTGAACTGACCTCTCGTGTTTTTCTACTAAAAACTAAAAACTCCGCTGGCCAGATTCAAAACAACGTATTTTTTAAAAGACTTTATTCCCGGAGCTCGGGATCGAGTGGCACAGACGAGGGGGGGGGGGGGTTCTTTCATTTGTTGACAGTAATAAAAATATAGAACCTCACAAGTTGTTTCTTTTGATTAATCTTGTTTTTTATTGGACATTTTCTTAGAATCAGTCACAGTTTTATTCATCTGATCTGTATTTTACTTTAGTCAAATTTAGAAAAACATCACATTTCTATTTTACTTTGATTTTATATCCATATTTTTTGGGGGAAAATCCTTAAATGAGAGTTAAAAAGCATTGAAAATGTATTTTACACAAGATAACATGACGACGACATGTGTGTAACATGATGTAACTTTCTTAACAGAGTGAATAACTGTGTGACTAAATGACGAGTGCATTAAACTGACTGAGCTTCTAACCCATGTTTCCTCAGGATGTTCAGGAAACCTCTGACCCAACAGAAGCAAGTTCATCTGAAGCTTTATCTAGACCTCTGGGCACAGTCTCGGCTGAGTCCCTGCCTGAGAGCATGGTAAACACGCCCTCCACCGTTAAAGTTTCCAGATCAGCCTCCGGGCCCCAACAGAGATGTGTCCTCTCCTAAATCTAGAAGTCTAGAGCTAGAACCTTTCTCTGCTTCTCCCTCTACGCCAAGAGCTGCTTCTAGATTTGAGTGTAAAATCTCCAAACCGTCCCCGTAAAACAGATCTATGCTTCAAAATAGTCCTGAAGCTCGTCAGTCCTCTTCTAGAACCTTAGAACAAGTCTAGAGCTCCATTTTCATGAAACAGCTGTGGAGCCATTTTCTCTTTCTTGAACCAATTATTTTCCTCCTCCAGTTTCTTCTAGAACATATTCTTGATCTCCTATTTCTCTCTGGGTCTAACTCTTCTAGAAATAAATTCTGATTTCAAGACTTGAAGACTTTTCTAGAACAAGGCTTAAACTCACTTCTGTGTTTTTTTTGTCCTGCGAACTCAAAACTTCTAACCTCTAGAAAAATTAGCGTATTCATTCTTTTTGATCCGAGTCTAGAACACCTGACGTGTTCGAGCATCGAACCTAGAACTTAGAATTCTTCTAGAAATGTCTCACTTCAAACGCCTCAGTGCATTTACATGGCAGAGAATTCCAGATATGAGCGTCCACGCTTCAGATCTGTGGATGTCGGAGTTTCGGATCATTTAACAATTTAAAAATCTAATTTGTGCCAAAGTTTCACGTGTTTACATCAAAGATTAACGAGCTCACACGTCCTCCAGAGTAATTCTGCCGATTCGGTATCAGGTGGTTCAGCATGACTCAGCACATTATTCACCACTAAGACAGAAGTGGTCGCCATGGTGATGGTTTCTCTTTTACGAATAAATGCAGACTGGTGATATTTAGCATGTGGGGGGAGGGGGGGGGGGGGGGTGTTCTAACAGTCTTTAAGAAGCTTATGAATTTACCTTAATTCTCGTTAGTGTTTTTCTAAAAGGCAGAAACAAAGTGTACGATGTTTTTTAACGTGTTTTAACGGGACGGCTGATTTCAGATAGTTTAACCTCTTGATTTGTTGATCTTTTCTTTTGCTGTCTGAGCTCATGTGCGAACGCAGATCGTCTCTCTTCAAATAAACTCCTGTGTGCTTGCTCATGTTTCTTCTGCCATTTGTATTTCCATGAGCTGAACCTGATGATAATACGGATGTTTACAGAGTTTGATCGATCCATTAGAGCAGCTTTCACTCCGGTGAATCGCTCCGTCACTGCCGGGCAGCAGGAAGAGGAGAATCCCACTTTGTTATGAATCAGCTTTTATACTTGAGGAAACAGATTGTTGGCCATGAAAGTGCACTGGTGTGACATGATCACTGATTAACACTCGGCTGCTGGCAGGTGGAAACCTCCTCGTTCTGTTTGACTCAATCAGAACAATTGAAAACTGATATTTGTTCTCACGCGATGTTTTTAAAGGTTCATTTGAATAATGCATCGATATCAATCTGAGAAAAGTAACGAGGCCCAAGTTGCCGTTTTTTTCTGAGACGTGAGGTTTTCACCTGAACGCAGCGACGCTGAGATGTCTTACATTTTACGGCATGTGCTGTACCTGTACATTGTTCCTCTTTTGTCTTTCCATTCTGTCCACATATCCAAACAGGAGCACGAATTCAAATAAACCCACAACAGATGATTTACTCCTGCGTCTCTCTTTTTCTGTGTCAGGAGCTCGTGCAGAGTCAGAGTGGGGGAGGGACAGACACAGTCGCACACCTTCGCAGAAATTCACAATCTAAACATTTAAGAGCCGTGAGATCAGGCAGCATTAGAATATATAACAACAATGAGAATAATAATAAGACTCACTCTCCTGGTGTGTGTCCCCGTCCTAACCCTCTAACTCACTCGAGCAGGAGTGGATGCGGAGGTCGCACACAAACAAATCTGTTCACAAAATAACCTCCTGGATTTTCTGTTTGAGCTGCACACGGCCTTGTTTGACGTCATTTTTTATTCGACTCTAATCCCAGTGAATGCTGTATTGGTTTAATTTGAATTTACCTTTTTAATGCATTTACATCCCATCATGCAGTCACACGTGTGAGTTTATACTCACGCAGCCTCGGAGGTGGGAGGAGGAGCAACACTTGAAAACAATTATTGATGTGCTTGGAATACTTAAAATGTATTCTGTCACAGTCGTAACTTCATGAGAGGCCTTGAATGACTAAATGATGTTTTAAAACATAATCCTCATCCTCACAGACCACTTGAGTTCAATGTAGTTTTATAATCTACTTTCTAAATAAATCTTAATCTCTTCATAAACTTTGAGTTCTGAAGTCGTTTCACAACAGAGAAGGAGGACGAGAATGATTTCTGTATGTTACGCAGGATAATACCCATGATCCTCTGCTTCCTGCTGCAACAAATCCACCAAACTCTGTTTAGAATTCTTCATATTTTAAAAGTTTCCTGCTGGGTGTAACTTTAATTAAACTGCTGGTTGCTTGGTCGCATTGTTTTTGCTTTAAAGGTTGAAAATGCCTGAAACTTTGCGCTCGTACAGTCCCTTCAAATTAAACTAAATTTCACACAATCATATATTTCAGTCGTCTAAATAAAGAAAACATCCTCCAGGATCTTCAATAAAATTAATGATATCATTTATTTCCTGACCCAAACCAAATCCTCCCACCAACTTTCATGCAAATCCAAAGTTTATTTGTGTGAACTCGCTCTCTAATAAACCAAACACACCAACAGGAGTGAAAACTTAATGAAATATCCACCCAGAACAAACTGAAGGCTTCTTAAACTCTCACTGGGTTTAGTGCGACGAGTGACGGCAGCTGGTTTGTTGACACTTGGCGTTGACCTCCTGCACAAACACTTCATCCTGCAGCCGTTTCATGAACTGAGACTTTTACACTTTTCAGTGCACGAAACAAATCGCTTTTAAAATCATCCTCAAACAGGAAGTCGGGATCAAAAAGTCTCAGCCCGTTAAAAATGTGATTGAACAACTTGAGGCTCCAGGTTGAATTCCACAGCGTGAAGAGGAAAGAGACGAGTGTTTGTTTTCTGTGTTTAGTGCTCACTCGGCCCTCTCTCTCTCTCTCTCTCTCTCTCTCTCTCTCAGCTCCACCCCTGTAGCCTGAGGCCTCTTCTCTTTCTTTCTCTCGCTCAGTCGTCCTGTGATAAAGAGCCACTGTCACTGGAGCCGGGCCACCGCTCCAGGAAGTGGTGTCTGTCACAGGTGGGTGGAGCAGACAGGGAAACGAAAGAGAAGAGAGGGACTGAGAGAAAGAAAGAGAGAGAGAGAAGCAGGCAGGGGGAACGAAAGAGAGAGAGAGAGGCAGGCAGGGGGAGAGGTAGTGAAAGTGTGAGAATTTACATCTGATCATTATTCAGATCAGCTTCAGAGACACAACCTGTTCAGGTAGATTCAACTTAAAGCTGCAGTGAAAGCTCAGGTGTCCTCCCGTCGCTCCTCCCCCTCCTCACCTGTGACCCTGGAGCAGGGAGGCTCAGACAGGTGTGTTGTGTTTGTGTCTCAGGGAGCGGAGGAGCCCCGTCCGGGTCCATCGCCCTCCACAGCGGGCGTCCTCCATGTGTGCCTGCAGAGGGCCGGCCGGCTGGAGCTGCGGCTGCAGGAAGCCCGGAGGAGCCTGGTGACGTCCACGATGCAGCAGAACGTCGAGCAGCAGCTGCTCACCTGCCAGGTAAGACACGCCCACAGGGGGGAGGGGGTAACAGGCCACGCCCAGAACGCACAGTCCAGATGTTTGTAGATTTCATAGGTTCAGTTTTTCAGCTTTTGAATAAAAGAAGTTTATTAAAACACACAGAAATATAATCAATCAGATGATTCAGTCCACGCTCAGTGGTCGCAGGCATTATGTTTTCAGTTTGTCCACGTGGGTCTCGATAACACGATATCTTCCTGTCGCTCTGTACAGGGAAGAGTCAAAGTCCGTCAGTCAGGAAGTCAGATAAAGACGTGCTTGTGTGACTCACGTTGCTAAAACAAGATTAGACTGAACTTTATTGATCGCAAACGAAATTCTTGCTCCAAAGTTACAATAACAAAGATTAACAACAATAACTGAGGCGATCAGAGGAAACTGCTCTGTGGGTCGGACTCCAGTTTTAACATCCATTATCAAACTTTATACGGTGCGTAAGATATTGTTTATGAATCCAGTGCAGATTGTTTCTCAACCAATAAGTAGAATAAGGCACCATTCAGCAGATCTGAGGTCAGCTGAAGTCTCTTTTACAGCATCTGAAGAATTATGAAAATGCAGAAAAGAAGCTTATTTGTCCAATTTTGTGGATTTTCATGCAGATCCTGGTTTAGAATTTATATAAAATCAAATTTAAAAAAAGCATTGTTATCAGTATTCCTGGAATGTAGATATTTTTCATATTCAGGAAAACATCAATATTTCATTTCGATTTCAAAGTGGAGATCTTTGGCCGATGATTTTCCTCCCAGGATTCACTCTGTGTCACGCGTCGTGTAACTCGAGCCTCCGTTAAAGTTTCAGAGGTCAAACACGTCCCGCGGTCACACGTCACATTTGAATGAAGCAAAGAAACAACAACCGTGATTGGTTCTTATTCAAATTCACTGCAGGAGCTTTGACATCGTGATTCGTGACCCACACCTTTAACATCTGACTTTAACATCTCACTGTGTTTATGAACCTTTATTGACACCTGACCTCGTGGCCTACATCTAAAACAAGAGCAGGAAAAGAAATCAGAGACATACAACATTAAAAAACTACAAATTAAATAAGTTGAGTAAAGTGTGTTGTTTCTAGAGGAATATTTCAAGTTGAAGCAAATAAAGGAATTTTAGCTGAAGTAGCATTGAAAGAAGTGGAAGTTAAAAAAACGCTAAAACGACTAAAAGACTGTGAAGTGTGAAGTTTAACAGTTGAAGAAATATCTGGTGTTAGAGTGAAGAACTGAAAGAAGGAGGGGAATGGAGTTGAAGAGATATTCAAGGATAAGTTTTATTATTATTATTATTAAAACGTCTCAGTGTCCAGTTAAGTGTGAGAACTCAATAAAGAGGTTCTGAAGAGAGTTCAAGCATCAGTGGTGAAAGTGGGTTGGATTAAAAACTAAAAGTTAAACTGCACATGATTGAACATGAGTGTGTCTGTGCTGATGTGCAGGAGATGTTCATGGAGATCGAGCAGAAGGTGAAGAGTCTGTCATCGCTCGGTCAGGTTTCTGACCTGCAGCAGCTGGGAGCTGAACTGGGATCTGAGCTGGGAGCTGAACTGGGAGCTGAGCTGGGATCTGTGGGATCCCAGCAGGAGGCGGCTGAGTTGCTCTCCTCCAAACTGGAGCTCCTGAAGTTCAACCTGGTCTCGTTCCAGCAGCTGCTCCAGGACCGACAGGGCGAGGAGAGGACGACCAACCACAAAGAGCCACAGGTACGTCCCACCTGAGAAACTCTGAACATCTAGTAAATGTTGATTTAATGAAGAAGATGGTGACACCTCTCCTCCCTGTGCCTCTTCTGTATCTCCGTCTCTTCAGAACTTGGTACCTGACGCACAGCGCCACCGTGAGTCCAGGTTGAGGCGCAGCAGCAGCGTTCAGGAGATCTTCTCCTCACCGAGAAACCAGCTCCTCAGACAGAGCAGCCTGCAGCAGCAGAAGGTATCAGACAGTTGTACTTGTCGTGGAACCAACGACGACACAGAGCATAAACACATATGTCTAATTTAACAAATTTAAATTCAAAGATCTATTGAAATATCTTGAATTAGACCATTTTAACTTCTTTCAAGCTCCAAACCTGTTTAGAAACGTTCAACAGCACGTCTGTGTGACATTTGACTTGACGTTGACAGGGTTGGTTTCGAAACGACAGGATGGAAGTTTGGTTTCCTGCATTGACTCTTGTGTCTGAATTAAGTTTCTGGTTTGAATCCCTGTTTATTTGACCTCGTTCTTGTGCAGGAGCTGGAGCAGGAACTGACTGAACAGAGAGGACTGACTCAGGCCATCGCTCGACACGGCAGCAGAGCTCGACTTTACAGCAGCGAGTCGGAGGACCACACCCAGCTGTCACCATGGTACAATTATATATTCACTTATATCTGCACCAGGGTTCAACACTTCAATCCACGTCCATGAATTCTTCTCTGGGAAATCGATGGAAAAGTCAAAGAATATGTGATGCAACATATATTTGTTGCATATACACGGATCAATAATTCTACACTGCCGCCACACGATCGGCCAAACAAAGAAAAAACAACCAAACGCCCCAAATAAGAAGGAAAGAAACAAGGACGGAAACAAAAATAGAAAGCGACAGAGAAAGACAGACAGACAGAAAGAGCGAAAGACAGAGTGAAGTGAAATGAAGAGTCTTTTCTCTCTCTCTCTCTGTAGTTGGCCTCCTGCTGAGGCTGATGTGGTCGGCGGCGGCGTTCCCTCGGCGTGGGACGGTCTTCACAGTCGGCTGCTGGCTCTGGAGGAGAGCTGGCTGCTTCCTCCCTCTGAGGTAACGTCTTCATCATCAGAGCTGAAGTGCTTGATTATCACTTTTCAAATACAAAAAGAGAAAAGAGAAATTGGTGTTCTCGCTCCGCTTGATTATCACCTTTGAGCAGAAGGCACTTTGTTGTCTCTTCGGTGTTATGGGGACTCCTGCAGGGCCTGATAAGAGTTATGTGTGTCTCCGACTCTTCTCTGTGAAGGTGACAGACTCATCTGTGAGGCGTAGTGATGGAACAGCAGGACGCATGATTGGCACAGAAAACCTGAAAGAGCTTCGAACCCTAATCATCCATCTGAGACAGCTGGGAGCTCCAGCTGCAGAACCTCTGGATGAGGTGAGGCTCCGATGTCACCTCCTCATGTTCGGGTCTATTTCAAAAAGTGGTAGAATCGGTGGCTCTAAGTTATCATCCTAAAATGATATCACAATTTAATTTAATCAAGATCTGGATTCACAGGAGCTGATGCACGGACATCATGGACTAAATGTATTTATGACAAACAGAAGACACAATAAAATACAGACGGAAGTACAAAAATAATAATGGTCGTGTTAAGAACAGATTTAAAACATCAAGAATAACAAGAATAAGTCAAAGTATGTCATCGTCTTGGGGCCCTGATGG